ACTTCAGCCACTGGACTGTGATGTAGCCGAGGTTACAGTTGGCCAATTTTTCCATGAGGAGATCATGGGACACCAGATCAAAAGCTTTTTTAAAGTCCAGAAATATGACATATTGCCATTAGCCAGTTTGTTAAGAATGGTCTCTTTGTTTTTTCCAAAATCTTTCCAGGGATTGAGGTCAAGCTGACTGGCCTGTAGTTCCTTGGATCTACTTTCCCCCGTTTCTTGAAGATGGGCATGACATTGGCCTTCTTCCAATCTTCAGGCACTTCACCTGAGTGCCATGAGTTCTTGAATATCCTTGCCAGTGGCTGGGCTATGATGCCTGCCAGCTACTTAAGTACTCTGGGGTGCAAACTGTCAGGACCAGCTGACTTAAAGGTGTCCACCCTCTCAAGGTGTTCCTTTACAAGGCTTACAGTGATGTTGGGTATAAATTCACCCTCACACTGGCTGTCCCACCTTGTGTTAGGCAGGATGGTCCCTTTGGGCTGGTGAAAAACCGACGCAAAGAACCCATTAAGTAGGTTCGCTTTTCCTTGGTGTTGATTGTCAGTTGTCCCATTTGGTTTAGTAGGGGTCCAAAGTTACCTTTGCTTTTCTTCCAACTCCCCACATATCTGAAAAAGGACTTTTTTTTTTGTCCTTAATACGTGTAGCCAATTGGAGTTCAGTTGCAGCCTTGGCTTTCCTGGATCACTCCATACAGGTACAGACCTTCTCCTTAATGGTGATACCTGTTTTCCATCCTTTATAAGTCTCTCTTTTTAGATGTAGGAGGTCCATGAGTTCCTTGCTGAGCCAAGGGGGTTACTATACCCTTTTCCTACCTTTCTTCAGAGATGGGATAGACATCCCTTGTGCTTTCAAGATCGCTCCCTCAAGGAGCAACCACTCAGCTTGAATTCCTCTCCCTGTCAAGTCATGTCCCCTTAGGGCCTCAACAACAAGCCTCCTGAGCTTATCAAAGTCAGCTTTCCTAAAGTTGAGGACTTCTGCACTGAAGACTGACTTGCCAGCTTTGCGATGGATAGTAAAAGTAATCAGCTTGTGGTCACTGTCTCCCAGCTTCCCTTCAGTTTTTAGGTAACTGATTAGATCATCCCTAGATCATTATTATGAACTGTACTTGCTACAAAAATCTGTGGGGAATTCCATATATTATGATATGCTATGCTGAATGAGCACTTGTCAAGAAATTTCTTTTATTTTTGTAACGTTTTGTTATTGCTTGTAACAATTTTTTTCTGCATGTGATTCCTTAATATAACAAACTCAACAGAATTGTTCAATAAATATTTATTCTGTGAATTCTCTTTAATTTCTACCCTTTACTAAACCCTATTGTTTTAATGCAATAGTATTGGTGCTTATGACTTTGGGGATACTGCCATTTGGTAACCTAGGGAGAAGGAACCTGACTTCTGATCTTAACAGAATGAGTATCCAGTGAAAGCTCAAGGGAACACCAAACTCCAAGAAGTGCCAAAACAGGAAGAGCAAAGATCCATTTAGACAAAGGTCAAACTGAAATACTCAAGGCAGAGATTGATATGGGAAGTCAGCCTAATGTAGAACCAATAAACAAAGATATGATGGGTTTTATTTTATTTCCTGATAAAATAATGGATTTTTTTAATATTTACTTCCTTCTGAGATCCTTCCATTTAAAATGATTTAACTAGGTAAATTCTCTAGTAAAAATTTTGTCTAGGAGGGAAAATGTGATCTTTTTTGGATATTTTCTTTCCTACAGATATGATTACATAGAAACTGTTCAGCTTTATGTCTTAAATGTATTTCTTGTTTATACCTTGAAATTCAAGAATTCATGTTACTTTAAAGTGAAATTAGTTCTCTTTCCTCCAGCAGGAAACTCTGTATCCATTACCACAGACAAATGATCTCTGAATTACGTGACTCATTGTGACTAGAAAAACTTTAAAAACAGTTTTGTAAATTCAAGTTGCATATATCACTTACATCTACCAAAGAAAATTAGTCTTGAAATTCAAAATTTCCATAATTCTGTAGCTGTTACATTTGGCTGTGGTATTTACTGTGTTATGCTTGGCATTGATGGTGCTTTTAAAACCATGTCAACATTTTCCATAAAAATATGCTCTATTGCTTCTTTTGCACAAATGGGCAAATGTTCCATTAATAAAATGTTAAACAGCTTTTGTGGCTATAAAGACACTAATAGGGCAGAAATCATTTTAACTATACAAATCAAGTCCTATAATTCCCAGAGAGATTTTTAACCCAGTCAGCATTATGGATTATTTTTAAACAAGCAAACGCTCTCTAAGCAGTCAGCCCAAAAGATGACTGAGGTGTAACAAGAAGGTTCTGTGCCCCATGCGGTGGCAGCAGGGGCAGTTGTCAGGCCAGTTGCAGTGGCTGTACTAGCAGTGGCAGCAGCTCTGTTCTAAATCACATGGGGCTTGAGCACTGGTTATGCTCTAGCCCACCTACAGTTATACTACTCGTGACAGATTCAGAATAGACATCCTATTTCAAGAAAGAAGAATGCTATACTATTCTTTCCATATATTTACCTTACCTTAGCTTGAATGCCAGCAATGTGTGAGCTCTTAGTTAACAATGGGTATTCTACACGTGAGCTTTAATGCGCAGTAGCCTATTTTACATTGCATTAAAGTGGCGTATAAAAAAACTGTGACATTAAATTAATGCACAGTAAAACAGGCTACTGTGCATTAAGCATTGCCTAAAAAGTGTGTGCTTGTGCATATCGGCACTGCCTAATGGGCATTAATTTAGTACCTCTGGGCACTTATACATACGTGTGCTCTAGGAGTGGGGGAGGGAAGGAGCGGTGCTTTAATTAGAGTGGTTCTGAAAGCTGCTCTAATTAAAGCACCCAAAGCATCTCATGTATCAGCATCCCCATGCAATGATAATACACAAGATGCGGGGGGCTGCTGGAGCGCGGTAATTGTCATGCTCCAGCAGACTCGATTAATTGAGTCTGCTACAATGTGCTGGAATTACCACGTCAGAGCAACTTCTCTGCTTGTCTACAGGCACCCTCACAACAGAGGTACTAAATTCAATGCACATTAGGAAAAGCACATTAATCTACATCTAGAAGTCCCCACTTAGGGTGTAATACCTCCTGTCACATGGAATTGCTAAATCAAGCGCAGAGAAAAAGATGGGACACAAACACAAATTAAAAGGTAAATATAAGGAAAACTATTTCTGTATAGAAATTACTCAAGGAGAACCAAAATTGGTTGGATTGTTAGTCTCCGAACATGGAAATGTTTAAAGGCACTAAGGGCACATAGGACACAAATCCCATAGTGCCAAGAGGAACAGGTACTTGTGCTTCTGAAAGTCTGACCAGTACTTCAAGTCAAAAACATTGCTGCAACCAAAAACCAAGTTCTGTAAATCATGCATGGAAGTGCCCTTAGTGCCTTTAAACATTTCCACATTCTGAGACTAATAATTGATTTCTTAAGCCATGAACCAACACCTACTTCTTGAATAAAATGATTAACCCTTCCCAACTCAAGAAACTTCTTGAGTTATTGCTGGGTAACAAAGTTGTTTCATAGTTGCAGTAGTGGCTACTATTGATGAATATACATATTTCTGAAAACTTTATTTTAAACTTTTTTTTCCCAATTACGCTGGAAAAAATTGCTCATGTAAAATAGTTTTAAGTAGACCAGTTGCTGAATTCACAGTTGAGTATTGCAAATTAAGGCCAGGATCCCAAAGCACTTTACAAAAAGGATTTATAAACCATACCCAAAGATCATTTAATCCTTCACTGAAATGTAGCCACCTGGTAAGTATTAGGCAGCAACATTACATAACCTTTGGGAACAGAAAGTGAAGAATAACATAGTCAAATGACACTGCACGGGGAATTTAGAAAAACAGACAAAATGTCATTACATGGGTTGAAATTTGGCCAAAGCACTGGAGTTAATGCTCCTATTCCTGTGAAAAGTACCACAAAATGATCTCATGCAGACCACATCTCATCTAAGACAGCACCAATCTTCTAACAGCACTGTATACCACAATGACATGCTAAAGCACAGATTGCCACTTACCAACATGGTTTAAAAAAACAAAATTGTTTGCATTTGTAACCCAAGTGATTTGGTGACTTAATTCTAATTAGCCTATGAAATATGAACATCATAACCATAAAATGGTAGCAGTAGCAGCAATTTACACATTGGTGGATGCAGTTCATGAACAGCACTACAGAATATTGTAAATATATAAAGAATCTACATGAATGCCCACAACAGGAACATAGGAATGGAATAGGAATAGAAAGAATTATTAGTGCTCATTTTTTAAAATACAGTTGTGCAAATATGGAGGGAATTCTACTGCACATTAGATGGATGAATTTTTTTAAAGCATTAACTAAATATAACATTTGGGGGATTATTCTTGTTTTGTTTTGTTGTTTTTGATTAAAATGGTACACGTGTTTCTTTTTTTTTTCCAGTCAGTCAAAAACTTTTCCACTCACAGCTCCACTAATACTCACACATTATAACTCTGGTGCTATGTGTTCAGTCACTTAAATTTTGTGTGCGAGCAAAAGAAGGAGAAAGACATACCTCTTCTGTTCTGCATGCTTGTACATATGTAAGTATCTTAGGGTACTAATAAGTACATGAGGGGCTAGTAAATTATTCCTAAGTCCCTTAAGTTCATGTTGTGAGAAGCTGCCCATTCCAATAGGAACTTGTATTTATCTCCATGTTACCTCATTCTCATTTCTCCCTAACAAAGGGTAATAAATAATTCACTGTTTCATTTGCAGAATGGTGTATATCTTGGTCTGAGCTAAGGATTCCTTCAAGAAAGAAGGTTTACGATGATCCTGAGACATCTGTGAAAATAATATTGTTATATTCTGCAATACATCATCTTAAAATGTGTCTGAATTATTGTTTGCCAATAAAAGAGACATGTAGGTATAAAACAAGACATACGTGAACATCTGTTCATATCTGGTGTTCGGAGCCCATAGTATCCTGATGGGCAGGAATGCAAGCATTCACCATATTGCCTCATTCCTTCTCTTCGAAGAAAGAAGAATAACTTATGCTGGCATCTGATGCACCCATTATCTTTCGAACAAGACAAACAGCCTTTGCAGATTGGATTTGGTCCATAGCTAGCTGCAAAATAAAAATATAAATTAAACTGTTAAAACCACTTTGGAAATAATTTTGGCTTGGAAAAAAAACCAGTGGTATTTATCTACCACATCATTGCAAGTAGTTTTGGAAGGAATAAAGCTACAGTACAGTGCATACATCATAATACGTCTGAAGTAGTAAGTGCCTTTCTAAACTGAAATTGTTAGAAATGTGATCTCCATTTTTTTAATTGGTGCACAGTATTTCTTAATGAAATTACACACCATTTTAATAAAATGTATAATTTTACAAGCACCACGAGACCAAGAGAAGTCAAATTAGTTACAGTAACACAAATAACGCCTAGATACCAAAGTCTAGCTTTAACTTAAGAAGGCAAGCATGCCAGAGCAGTAGCAAAGAGCAGAAGAAAAGCACCCTGAAACAAACACACACCCTGCAGAGCCCCCATCAGGGATGTTTCCACTTCAACTCCAGTTACAAAGCAAATGTATTTTTAAATTTGTAATTAATTTTTCCTTTTTCATGAGAATCTCAACATGTTTCACTGATGACCCATTTTGAAGGACTTTTCGTTCTTTGAACACCTGTCTGCTCAGTGGGCTGAAACCAACTCATCTCCTGCATAAAGGCCACAGAACAACCTTTAGATAATACCACAGATGGTAATGTTCAAGAATTGTTATCTTCAACTATTTCATTCTTTTTCTACAATGACAGTCATACTACAGTATAAATTATGTAACACAGATACAGTCTTCAAACCAACTGAAGGAATCATGTGATCAAGTCAGGGTCTTCTTGTTCTTGATCTCTATTCCTTGCACTTAGGAAAAGAATCCTAGCTTTACAAAAGCCTTAATTGCACTATAATTGCACTATTCCTACTTCCATGCCAGCTTTCATAACCCAACCTCTCTCCAGCTGCACAAAAATGCCACCACTCTCTGCCAGAGGTTTCTTAGGCACTGCCTGCCTGTGGATTAGCAGAGGGAGCACGCCTCATGAGGCTTCTGAACCAGACTGACTTACAAGGTCTGTTTTAAATATTAAATTGGCCACAGGAGTTAGCTGAAATTTGCCAGTTCAAACCTGGCTTACTGGAAACAATATATATATATATATATATATATATATATATATAAAAACACAACTAGAAGGAAAAGGTCTTTGGGGTGTCAAATCTTTTCAAAACAGCAGACTATGGTGGCAACTTGCCAGGAGCATGAGAGCTATATTTAATTGCTGATCTTTTAAAAATAAAAAAATACGCACAGCTGGCCATACTGTGTATTTTTATCCTGTGTGAAGGATTAATAGGAGCTATTCAATGGCTGACTACCAATAGAAGGAAGGGGAAAAACCTGGAACCAGTAGTTGATAAGCTTTATTCTTGTCCCCACACATCTGCATACCACATTCCCCCTCCCTCTCTTCTCCCCTCTCCAACATGCTTCTAAATAGCAGAATTGTGGTACTCAACTCATACGTTGTACAAAGCAGTTTGTTTTGCCAAATAACAGTTCTGGTGGTTGAGGACAGGACAGAAACCTAGGAGAATCCTGGGAAAGCTCTCGTAGCTGGATAGGAAGCAAACATATATATGGACTTCATCAGGGTTCCTCAAATCACACTTTATTGTAGGTAGCACAAAAAATATATAGATGTACATAAAATAAATGCCTACACTCATCTCACTACCTCAGTTTCCTTGTTACTCTTGAGCATTCTTTGGTGTAGATCAGAATCATGTAAGCACTCCAGGACTGCCTTCTCCCCCACCCCAACTGCAAATGGATTTTTTCTCTTTCTCTCCATTGCAGTCAGCTTTTCTTCCTCCACTGTTCTACAGTTACACAAAACCCTGCATAAGTTTCCTCTGTCTCCATTGTCATGACCCAAAAGGCATGATTGTGTGTGTGTGCTTCAGCACCAGAATTATCCCCGTCAAGTTGCAGAGCATTGCACGGGAGTGTTTCCTGTTGCAGAGGAAACACTGGTGCAGGGACCAGTTTCCCGCCTTTTCTGCAGCTTCTTTTGCAGAGTGCATTGCTCATGTTGCAAGAGGAATGCACGGTGCAAAAGAGTTCCCGCCACCGGTATGCAGTTTCCTTCCCCGTGATTGGCTAGTGCTAAATTATTCACACGTGGCGGCTAGCGATTGGCCTGTTAGCCGTATAAAAGGCTTGAGCAGTTCCCGCCCAAGCCGAAGAGGACTCCACATCCATCTCGTGGGGACTCTGGGTACACGGCAGGGTAATAGAAACCCTGTGTGAGATCCAGAGGAGCGTGGCGGCCTGATCCACCGCCCACCTCTTCCCGTCTTCGAACGCAACTTTTATAAGACCTACTTACGATTTCTATTTTGTGGCTCGTTCACCCAGAGCATCCGGAGCTCTGCACCGTGGAGCCTAGCAACCTCCACGAGACCGTCTGTGTTGTTTGTCTGTAACTGCAACTTAATCAAGCTTTCCAGCCTACACCACTGCCATCTCGGTGTAAGTAAACAATCTTTTAAACTACCGCTACGCGCTGTCTTTATTCCAGTGAAATTGGAGAACCACACAGACACCTCTCAGCAGTAGCTAGCATGGGGGAGGGGGGCAGGTTCCAGGTCCCTGCACTGGGTTCCCTGCCGTGGGAGAGGGGCGGGGGGTTGTCGGGGGTGGATCCCTGCTTGAGCAGCCAGCAGGGAGGGGGGGAAGGGGAAACCTGGCAGCTGCTGCAATCCCTCAGCCAGCCAGAGCTATGATAGTGCTCTGGCTAGGAAGGAGAGAGATTGGGCCACACCTGCTCTGCTCCAGCGGACAGCCCCACAAAGCGCTGTAAAGCATTTGTGATGCTGGGAGACTGTGATTTAACTTAAACCAGGAAGGGGTCTGGGACAGACATTGCATAAACCGGTTTGATCCAAATCAGTTAAGGCTAATGCTACATTAAACCAGGTTTCTCTCAAACCGGTTTCAGCCATGTTCAAACTGGTTTATGTGCACTGAACATTGTTCTGTCACAGGTTTAAGGCAGTTTCTGATCACTTAAACCAGTTTACGTGTAACGTCTGTCCCTAGCCCTAAAGCTGTCCATTGTCCCTAGTCTGGAAGATAAGTGACATAACCCTAAAAGCATTTGGCTGACTCCTTATACACTGAGATAGTCAAATGTACAACAATTTCATAGCTACAACCCAAGTCCATAAACTGCTTGTAGATTCTCCAAGCTGTCATACCCTCACTCCTGAGTGACCATGGGCAAAACACTGCTACTCTCTGTACCCTCCTGTTGAAGGAATGCTGTGAGGTTCAGTTCATTATCATCTGTAAACTGCTCTGAAATCCTCAGATGCAAGATGTCACAGATGTAACAGATTTATTACCACCTTGACTGATTATCAAACTTCAGTCCATGGAGTTATGGTGAACCAAGAGGACATAATGCTCACACAAGGATGACTGATTCTTGTTTCCAGGTGTTTGGTTATATTAAGAGACAGCTAATAATGCATTCAATTTTTTTTTTTTTTTAACCATGCAATCCATGTTATCATCTGTCTATTAAGTGGTAATAAATTTCATGCAGGTGTTTGAAAACTCCTGATGTGAACAGAGAGGAGAGCCTCCTCTTGCATACGATCAAGTAGGTGTGTCTACACAAGACACTACTGTGCAGTGGTCACTGCATATTTATTTAGTACTTGTATAAGCAAATACTAAATAAATACGCAGTAACTGGAGTTACTGTGCAGTAGCGCCAGCAAATGCTTTTTTTGTGACACTACTATGCAGTAGCCTAATACTACTGCACAGTAGCATCTCAACATGGTTTTTGCCACGAGACTCTACTGCACAGAAATATTTGGCTAATGCACCGAGTCTCATGTAGACACATCCAGTACATTATATACTATATACAACTTTTAGTTATTTTGCATCCACACTTGTTTACACCAGTTCTTATCACTGCTCTTTTCACTTTTGCCTGTAATTCGTTGGAAAGCACTTCTGATTTTAACTGCAGCCATGGTCTCATCTCAACATTCAACCGCTTAACAAAAGAATCACAATTATGCATTAGCTCCAAATTATTGGATGACACATTCTTTTACCAAGTATGTTGCTACACTGTGGGTGCATCTACATGAAATGTTTACTGCGGAATTGCTTAATTAGCTCTGCAATAAAAAGTCTCAGAGTCTATGCATGTGGTGCTATTAGGCCACTTTAAACTAATAAATGTTGCTGTAGGTCAACACAAGTACTATCCTACAGCAATGTTATTTAGTGCACCACAATGCACATGTAGACACTGACAGGGCTAGCTGGGGCAAAAGGGTGCTTCAGTGTGGGGGCTGCCCCTCATGCCCTAGCCAACCCCTCCACTGCATATTGAGCCAGGTCAGAGTTGCACCATGCTGACAGGATGAGCCCCCAAACCCTGTGTCAGTTGGAGCTGCTCTGACTCAGCTCAACATGCTATGATCCCATGTGCATGTGTAAATGTGCTTCCCGGGAACAATAAGCTCCAGCCCGAACTGTGCCAGAGTTTATGCAGTTGAATTAATTTTACATGTCAATGCATCCTATGACTTGCACTTTAAAAACATTTTCTTTTCTCCCTTTCTTTCCACACAACTCAAAAGTCGCTAAGTTCTGTATTGTTTTCCCTTGTACAACAACTGCCCCTCCTTCTTTGACTGCATCCTGGTTCTCTCTCACCCCAGTTACAGTATGCTCTTCATCTATAGCCTTTCCAAATCCCAAATCACTGTCCTGCAGAATGAGAAAGTGAAAATTCTCTTCTCCTATTGCTTTGATTTCCTATTCCCCTTGTTTCCTTTAATATTAAACTAAAAATAAAAGCAGGATGCTTCCAAGCCCTGAAAACTCTGCTTCCAGTGTCTTCTCACATCTCTATTTCAAAGTCGTCCAACTGATGGCCTCCAGGCCCTATATGACCTGTGAGGGGTTAGTTTGTAGCTCT